ATGGGCTAAGGGCAGAGGACACTCATTCTTGTAATGTCCTGGTTGTCTACAGTTGTAGCACAGAACAGTTTCCTCGCTGGTTTGAGGTCTCCCTTGTTTCCTGGGTGGCAGATTGTATGGTCTTTTTGGAGCAGTTCCCTCCCTTTTCATGAACCTTTTAAATTTCCTTACAAACATGGCAAACTGATCGTCGGTAAGGAGGTTGTTGAGGGATTTCTCACTGGATTTTGAAGGGCCAGGCTCAGACACTAGAGCTAGTGTTTTGGATTCATCTTCCTTTTCTTCTTTAATTTCCTTCATCTCAAATTCATAGGCTTTGAGATCACTGAAGAGCTTATCAGTTGATAGGATTCTTAGATCTCTGCTATCTCTCATAGCAGTCACCTTCATGTCCCATTTAGAGGGCAGGCCTCTCAAGACTTTAAGGGAAATCTCCTTTTGAGGTAGATCTTTCCCTAGGTCTGAGACCTCTGCTGTGATCTTTAGGAACCTAGTTTCCATCTCTTGGATGGACTCATTTTGCAGCATCTTGAAGTCCTCAAATTTCTTGAGGGCCATGGTAAGTTTGTTGTCCTTCTCCTGTTCATCACCAGCTCCAATTTTTGTGAGCTCATCCCAAACGTCCTTTGCTGTTTCACATTTCCTGATTCTGGGAAATATGGATTCATCAACCGATTTAAAAAGAATGTCCTTGGCAATGTTATCAAGGTTGTTTCTCTTCCTATCCTCGGTTGTCCATTCCAGTTTGGGCTTGAGAATGTACACATCCTCCTGGTCATCAGCTCTGGATGTGCTGACCTTCATTATCCTGATAGGTCCGGTAGTGATTACTTCCAGCATTTCATCATGTAAGGCACTGAGATGTGCCTTCATCCTGATTCTCCAATCATCAAACTTGTTTAGGTTGAATAGGAGGTTTTTGGCTAGTTGACTGTCCATCGTTTAGAAAGTGTTTGGGAGAGGGAAGTGACTTTGGGTCTTTTGTTCAAACTAGTCAGAAACTGACTCTAGGAACACCCGCTCTGATACCACTTGATGGTCCCGGATAGGGTAAAAGTCTAGAGGGGGGGTGAATAGACTTTTAAATCTTTTCGACCTTTACAAATTTTTTCCTCTAGAAGAGTTGATCTATAATCTTTTGAGAGATTAATAGATGCACAGCGGAAGTCTTTACCCTTTATATAATGAATGTTTTAATCACTTTCTTATCTGGAGAAGATTGGACTTAGATGACTAGCAGTTGGCTTGGCAGTTAGCTAGGAAGCAGGGAACTGCTGAGGCAACTGCTCAGATTTTGATCTGGCTTTCAGGAATTGAACGTACTTTTTAACAATGATATTTATGGCAGGCTGATGAAACTGAGATGGTCACAGGAAGTGACTTGTATGTGAGCAGAGGGCTCAGCAGTTGGGTGGTCTCAGGGAACTGCTGAGGCACCTGCTATACTTAGAAAGTGAATTACTGGGAGATGATAGAGTAGACCTTTTAGAGATGGTGAGGTGCGTCTCGGGAGTGAAAATGGTCTCAAAGAAAGCAAGTGATTAAGCAGTAGGATAAGCAGTAGGGTCAGCTAAGACAACTGCTTAAGATTCTGCTGGCAAACTTCAATCTTTTTGTGAAGAGTGCTAAGTGTATGCTTTGTTTACTGAATGTAAATCAACACACAGTATATCCTGGTTCAGAGGTGGTGTAATCCTCCTACGTCCAGTCCCACCCTCTTTCAGATGGATTTCACTAAAGTATTAAGCCCAATACACTTAGTGTCAATCTAGCCTTTACAACACTTAGGCCTAGATTGAAGGTTTTTCACAGTGAGTATAGCACCACTCAAAGTTACTCAGTCCTTAGACTTTTCTCTAATGACCCAGTGGGGATCAAAAGGTACTCTATCTATCTACTTACATTGTAGGATCCGAACAACTGTTCTCCTAAGTGTTTATAACAATATGTGATTTATTTCAAGAAAGTTCTAACCTCCAACTAGGAACTAAACTTGTATAGTATGGCAATGAAGATTTGATAAACTGGAAGTTTAGTGAAGCATAAGTCCAAGCAGAGGGTAAAGTTTAGAATAGCACTTTCTCTTTTGCTAGATCTTTCGTAAATGCTCTTGATAGAAATTCTCTCTTTGGATGCTTAAATGCTTGGTTAGAAACTTTCGTTTCTGCCTATATGTATAGGCTCTCCGGTCAATTGATCTTATCCGTTGGTTAGGATAGATCAATCTTGTGCGTTGAATTTTGTTCGCAGAAGATAAACAATTTGTTGTTTATTTTCTTCTTCGGAGCGTATGGGTTCTGTTTGTTTTGCCCGCCTAGCTACTGTTGATGCCTTTTTAGACTTCAGACTTGTGCGCCCATGCTGTAGGTCCATGTACCTGTTGTAGCATTAACTTCCGTCTGTTTTTGTCTTCAATTGATTGCTGAAGTATTTCTTTTATTTGCGTCTTCAGTGTTCCGAGGCCTGTACGTATCTGGCATTAAATCTCGGTCAATCATCTATTTGATTTTTCGAGCTTCGTGACATACGAATAATTTTTGAGTCTTAATTAGCATTTGCCGGTAGGATTTTAGCATCCTATTAAGGCAAAGAAATATTGCCTTATTCCATTTTTATTTTTCCGGTAATGTTTCATAGACCCAAAAATTGTACATTTGATTTGTCACGTTAATACTAGAATAAATTGAGACACAATGTACACGTGTTCAGTATAGTGGCATCATCAAAATCTTATCAGACTTGGGTACTAACAGATTCCTTCAACGGCTAGAAGACTTGAACGGAAAAGCTACAGTACGCGCATTAAATGCACATTTAATGCACCCCGTACCCTGAAGAGTAAAAGATGATGGTTGGCCGACATTTCAGGATAACTTTATCCCAAAATAGCAACACGCCAACTTTCTTGGGTCCTACTGGTCAAGTCAATTGTTCGCACATTTAATGCAGTTGTCCTCCTCCTCCAACGGGAAGACAACCTCAGTATAAAAGATACTCCTTGAAGAACAACAAAAAAGAGACTTTTTGCTCAACACTTGCTAGAACAAGATATTAAAACATTTAAACGCACAAGCCTTCTTGAGATCAAAAACTTCATCATCATCAACAAGAAAGGCGTACGTTGGGAAGACAATATTTTTCTATCTTCATATCCCAACAAGAGCAAAGTTCCAACTGTTCTTCAACACTTCAAGCACTTCAACTACAAACCTTTTGTAACGAAGCAAGTTGGAAAACCCTGTTCTCATAGAACTCTTCTCTTACGAGAAGGACGTCCAAGTAACTGGAGCAGTGAAGTGGTGATACTTCAAGGAAGCTCAGTTAAAGGACCAGTCTTAAAGGAAGCAAGGAAGTGCATCCCAGGAGACATCTAGGCTTGAAGAAGACGTGGAGAGCTTCTTAAGTGCTAGGACTAAGGCTGTGTAATTGGATTTTTTACAAGCTTAGTGGAACAGTAGATTAGAGGAACGAGTTGTTCCTTGAACCACTATAAAAATCCCTGGTGTCATTTACTTACTGCTTTTATTTCTTGCATTTACCGTTAACTGATTAACTCCATAAATTGGGACTCTGTGATCAGCAGAACCCCTCCTGTGAGTTAACAGAAGGCCTACTGCCTTTGCATCCCTTAGAGGCTAACCGGACAGAACACCATCCGCTGCCAGTCTGTTCTATCAACAGAACATACTATTCTGTTAAATCTGGTACTTAGCTTGAAAAAGTTAAAAACCATTACAGTCTATTCAGACCCCCCCCCCCCCCCTCTAGACTGTACCCAGTACAACCGGGACCAACACTTTGTAAACAAACTCGGGCCTACGGATCAACTACTTGACTTTATATAAAGTAAGTATATTTTGAAAAGGGGTAACTTGGGGTTACGACCTAGATTATATTATCACCCTATTTGAGGGTCTTGTATTTGAAATACTTGTTCTATATCTATTAGATGCCATCCACACCAGTACTTTATAGCCGTATAGAGTATTGACCCCCTTTCGGGGGGCGTCCCACCACCATTTCAGGTTGAGGCTAGAGCTTGCTTCATGTGCTCGTTGCTCGAGTGATTGCTCTGGAGAGAAGACTTGGTTCGTGCTTCCTTCATTCTGTTTTGAACAATAATAAACTTGCTCATGGATATTTTACTATAAAGCATGTGTGCTCATGCTTGCCCCGTGTGGCATTTGTTTTAAACTATGTTTCCGATGCGTATTGAATTACTTATTATGTATGTTTATGGATGACTTATGTGTGAATGATATTCGAGACGCCTTGTATAATATGGATGTGTTTGAATGCGGTTGACTATTCGTATTGTACGGCGGGTTGTTGACGTGTCTGGGTAGGTTCGGGGCATGACACCTTACCCTACTACTCAGCCCACTGCCTATTTATATACTTTCTTTGAGACATCTCAACATTACAAGAGTCTTACAAAATCACTACAAAGAAGCTTGTACAAGCAGATTTCTGAAAACCATCTTTTAACTCAGCAGTAGTCTCAGCAGATCCCTGGTGACTACTCAGCTGCTCAGTCCACTGCTCTCATAAACAATCACTTCAAACTCAGCTCAATACATTTTCAGAAAGCTCTCACCATTCTGAGTAAGATTCCATAATCAACTTTCTCACACTTTTATCTTTCCTCAGCAGGTGACTCAGTAGTTCCCTGCAATCCACTCAACTGCCGAGTCAACTGCTCATCTAAAGAAGTCCAAACCCCACTCAAACACTTCATATGACTTATTTAGATGTTATTAGACTAATCTAATAGTCATCATAACTCACTTGTCCATTTCCCTTTTCCATAAAGAAACCAACTATAAATAGAAAGTTATCATACATTGTTTATTTAGAGGTTAAGACTTCCGATGTGCATCTACAATCTCTCAAAAGATTATAGATCATCTCATATAGGTGGGAAATATTTTAAAGTTGAAAAAGCTTTAAAGGATTATTTACCCCCCCCCCCCCCCCCCCTCTAGACTTTTTAACTCTATTCGGGACCATCAGTATATAAATGTTTGTGTGCGTGTGTGTGTATTCAATTCAATACATCAACATACAAATAAAAGATAGAGAAACTCGAAATCATAGGGTATTTTCTCAACAATGGTTGAGGCTTTGCCGCCACCGTGAATGCTCCTGAAGCATTCAACCATTGACTTTCTGAGAGATCCTGATGTGGGTAGTTGCTCACACACCCACTCAAGCAATGAATCCAAATCATCTGCAAAAACGTGCATGTTTCTTAGCATTAGCTCCGGAAACTCAATCTTCTTGGCACTCTTTCTCACAATCATTGAAGCTTGTAAATATTCCAACTTTGATTTTTCCAGCTCCGCCGTCACCCCCCTCGGCCGAGTATATTTTCACCTACCAATTCAATTCAATTTTACTAAATATATATGCAATCACATGATTTATATATAATATATCAATATATGCATTCAAAATCTTTATTATGATACATGGGTGAAATATGACTTTTTTCAGGATGAATTTTTCTTAATACTCCAGAACATAATTTAGTGTACTCCCAAGTCCCAAATAAAATTTTGTAAACATGAGACTATTAAATAACATGATTTAGTATGGACTTACGGCTGGTGAAGAACGAGTGCCACAACATAACGCGAATGTGATGTTAGGATCAGAGGACTCGAGTCCATAGAATCCAGGGATTATGCTTCCGTTGTCACCTTTGTTGTCCTTTACAAAAATAATAATATATGATCATATCTTGGTAAATGAACATAAAAGAATATGATCTAAGCAATGATTATTGTACACTCCACTTAGCATATTCATAGGTATGAATTATTATCATTTATTAATATATGTAACCTCTTTTCCTAGTGAAGTCATAAATGAGTTTCTCAAGATAGCATGCTCAATAGCTTGTGCATTGATCACATAACCTCCGATGTCTAATGTTGCCTGCATTAATCATGTATGCATTAGCCCACATAAAATAAGTTAATTAACAATGAAATAATTACATATTTATGACTAAAATGAAGATTGTTTACAAAATGTGATTAGTGACTAGACTAATAATGAAATTATAGTAATTTATATTCAATTTTTAAACTTAAGTTACTATGACACTACATTGTAGTAACTAATAGTCATATTTGTGTAAATAAGTTTTATTTGAGTAATAATTTTGTAAAAAACCCATTAACAATTATTGATTATATATAGTATCGGTAGAAAGGAATCCTTTGTATTAGAATAGTTCCAAACTGACATCATGTGTTTAGGCTATTATCATTATGTGAAATTGTTAAGGAGTATGTAAGTTTGTTCAAGAAGGAAAACCTTACTAAGATTAATAATAGAAATGATGTAGCCAGTCATCTCAAATACAAAATGTAGAATCTACAATCACTCAATGACTCATTAATTACATGAACTTATAAATTACTCTGTAAATATAATTCTTGTGTTTATTTGAATATTTCTTACTAGCATATATGGAAAAGAGACCACCCAAGTATTTTACCTCTTGAAGGATGGGTAGAAAACAACTTTTAATGTTGGAAACTTTTATTCTAAAAATTTATATGAATAGATTATATTTGGGATCCATCCAAAATTAAAACATTGAGATTCAAGCCATTTAAAAAACTCACATTAGCATCTCCTCCACCCTTTATTAACATTATGAGCCCGTTTGGTAACACTGTAATCGGCAGAATCGGTTGATTCTGCTGAAATTTATGAAGTTCTGGCTATATTGCACTACTAAAAAACTCGGTATCGGCAGGGATTTTGGCTCGGATAAATACCCTGCCAAATTTGGCTCGACATTTGGCTTGGATAACTCATACATATAAACCGTATCCAGTTTGGAACGGATGTATCCGTGCCAACAGTTTGGCACGGAACATCCCATCCAAAACACGATCCAAAACCGTAAAAACACAGAAATTTTGGCTTCTCGACAATTTGATCCAAATGTCGTTCCAAAGTGGCACGGATACGAATCCGATCCCACATCATTTTGTACTTTCAGTGTTTGACTCAAATATATCCGAGCCAAACCCATCCCAACCTAACTCCGTGCCAACTGGGACGACCATTTCCGTGCCAACATGAACATGTTGCATTGATGAAGATATGTGCCAATATCCGAGGCAAAAGAGTTGTGCCAAAATCCGTGCCAAAGTTTTTAATACAATTTTATTTTTTGGCTTTTGGCTCAAACGGGTTGTCCGTGCCAAAAGATAACCGTTACGATATATCCGTGTCAAATTCCGAGCCAAAAGGTGTCAAACGGATTTTCAAACGGTTCGATCGACGGATTTTTCCGTGCCAAATTAGAGCCATTTTGTATCCAATTATATTTTCCGTGCCAAAATCCGAGCCAAATTACACCATAAATCCTTGCACATTCCTAAGCAAAATACATCTTCATTTATGTATACATCTACACATGAGCTATTCTTAGTGCTGAGTTTTGGAAACAAAGGAATGTGCTACGTGGAATATTTATATTTGGATTTCTTAAAAGAATTATGTTCTGGTTACAAGGTATGTAATTTTATTCGTTTTATTAATTAATTCCAATAGATCAATATATATTTCATGTCTTGAATTATAATTATTGTCATTATTTGCCTAATACCAATAAAATTGGTGTGATGAGTTTTAAAAATTTACTTACCAGCATGTACTTTTAATAAGAATAAACAAATATTTATTAATTTATTTTACATATTCAGGACCAATGAATAGAGAAAGTAGTAGTTGGATGTATAGTCGACATAAAGAAAATGGTAGAGGATTGACTAAAGAGTTTACTGATGGAGTTGCTGAATTTATTAGTTTTGCACAAAGGCAAACACAATACACGGATGGAAATAAAATAAGATGTCCGTGTACAAAGTGTAAAAATGCCAAGTTTCTTGATCCTGATACCGTGGAGTGGGATTTAAATACACACGGTTTTATTGATAACTATTACAATTGGACTTCTCAAGGAGAACCGATTGATACATGTCTTTTTCCACAGACCTTAGGCACATCTAACTATGTTCCTAACGAGATGGCTGGTTGGGGAAATTGTGAAGAAATGCCATGCGAGTAGAAAATGCTTTATGATTTCGTCGGCCCTTCAGCATTTCACAATACCCAACCAGATAATGATTTCACTTCACATAGTAATGTGAATGAGCAACCAAGTTCATCTTATTATGAGGTAGATGCGCTAGGCACTAGATTTCAAGAAGTCCTCAAAAGCGCGGATCAACGTCTATATTATGATTGTGATGGTCATTCGCAGTTATCAGCGATTTCTGAATTTTTGAATATAAAGGCTGAATATAATCTCTCTGAGAATTGCATGTCAAGGATACTAGACTCTGTTGGCAGCATGTTACCGCGTGATTATTGTCTACCTGGTACTTACTACAACATGAAAAAATTTGTTTCAGAGTTAGGTCTTCCCATGATTAAAATTCACGTTTGCCCAATCGGATGCATGTTATTTTGGAAGAACGATGAGGCATTGACCCATTGTAAGTTTTGTAATGCGGATAGGTACAAACCTATATCAGCCATGACTCGGAAACCACGCAAAAGGTCTGCGTCATCTAAGTTGATATATCTTCCTTTAGCTTCACGGTTGCAAAGGTTGTATGCCTCAAATGCCACGGCTAAACACATGACGTGGCATGTGGAACATGAGACTAAAGATGGGTTAATGTGTCACCCATCAGATTCTGAGGCATGGAAGCATTTCGACCGGTGTTATACACAATTTGCTTTTGAGCCACACAATGTTCGACTTGGGTTATGTGTTGATGGCTTTTCCCCGTATGGCCAATTCGGGGGACAATTCTCATGTTGGCCAATTATCATTACACCATATAATCTCCCCCCTGACATGTGTATGAAACAACATTTTATGTTTTTGTCATTAATGTGTCCAGGACCGGGTAATCCAAAAAACAGAATTGATGTATACCTGCAGTCATTGGTGGAAGAGCTCAGACAGATATGGGATGTAGGTGTTCCCACATATGATGTTTCCAGGAATCAAATATTTAATTTGAAAGCTGCAGTTTGTGGACAATTAGTGATTTTCCAGCATATGGAATGCGCTCTGGCTGGAGCACCGTTGGTCTGATGGGTTGTCCTGTTTGTATGGAGAAGTCAAATGCATTTTGGCTCAAGAATAGCCGCAAGCCATGTTACTTTGATTACCATCGAAGATTCCTTCCTCAGAACCATCCATATCGAAAGGATAAGAAATCATTTCTAAAGGGGCGCACTGAGCTTGATCCACCACCAATGAGGTTTACAGGATATCAAATTTATGATCGTGTGCACTCCATCCCTACTGCCATCTAAAGGGCGCACTGAGCAGGTTGATGCCTGATTTGCCCAGCAGCAGCAGATTTGGCAAACCCAGATGGCCAACATGACGAATACGTTCATGTCGTATTTGGAGCAGGTCTGGAGCATCAACCCGAGTGTCTCGCTGCCCGAGTTCTCTGGTTTCCGAACACCGACCCCTCACGGAATTAACAGCCTTCTGAACGGATCTCATGACGTGCCCATGGATGATCTTTTTGATGCTGTGAACTGAACTCCCAAACTTGAACAATTTTTTTATTGTAACTTCTTTTAATGACTTTTTTAGCCATTTGCTTGGACTGCTTAATTACTGTTTTCTTTCAACTGTTGTTTTCTTTCAACTATTGTTTTCTTTCAACTGCTTATTAATCTTAGTTCTTTTTATGTTATGCTTGTGGTTGTGAATTGTGAATATTGTGCATGTATGTGGTGTTGTATATGTGAATTTTGAATTGTTATGTATGGTCAAAAAGATTACATTTCTGTAAAAAAATTGAAATGTATAAAAAAAGTATAAAAAAACGTATACCGTATAAACGTTTTTTTATACCTGATATACTAGTTGGCACAGATTTATCTGATCCATAAACCGCTATAAACTGGGTCGGTTGGGTTCCTATAATCCGAGGCAAATTCCAAGACAAGAGAAATCCGTGCCAATTTTTGAGGGATTTGGATGCTAATTTTTGGACGCAAAATTCTAGACAAATGTCGTGCCAAGTGTTGACACGGATCCTATAATCCGTGCCAACACGTTTGGATCGACTCAGGTGGCACGGAAAATATTTCCGAGCCAAAACCGAGCCAAGAGCGGTATTCTGGGAATTTTAAGGGGTTATCTGAGCCAAAATCCGTGCCTATACCGAGGTTTTTTTAGTAGTGTTGGCTACTTTGGCTAATTCTGCTGCTTTATGAAAAAATTGTATTTAAAATATATTTTATTAATAAAATAAATTAGAAAATATATGAAAAAATAGTTAAAATGATCTTCTACAGTAACTTCATCCAATACGGCCTGAAAAGTAACTTCAACCTTAATTTTTCTTATTATTAGAGAATTCAGCGCGCGGAATCAAAAGTTACGTGTTTGATGAAAACGTAACTGATAAGCCTGATAAGCCAAAAACCAAATTCATCAAATGAGCTCTATCATATATACTCCCAAAATGGTCAACTTAAATTACTCTTAATCTTATATTTTATATATCAAATTTTTATCAAATTTATATTTTTTATCAGCCTTTGTAGCAGTTTTAATGTAGTTTCTCAATATGTAAATTTTATTTACTAAAAGTAATATGAGTATGAACATGGATCGAGTTGCTTTATCGTCGGTCAAGCATCTTAATCTGAAATGAGAAGTTAATTTTGGGACGAAGGTAGTGCTTTATATCAGGCTATTCACAACGACCACATATAAAGATATTTAGTGTCAGATAAAGTCTTGATTGCACTTCATATCAAGTTGAGTGATAGAATTCCAGGACTTAATTTAATACCGAGTATTAAAGATAGAGAAAAATAATAAAAATACTCCAAATTTTGATGGGGTGTGAAGTAAACACCCCAAACTTGAAATTGCATATGCCATTTAAATACCCCAAACTTTATATAAAAATTATTTTCGCACCATTGTCATGTAATATTTCTTAAAAAATGTGAACTTATGGGGTTAATCGTGTCTTCGTGAATTCTAAAAAATTTTAAATTATGCAATTAACATCATAAATTTACATTTTTGAAAGAAATAATACTTGATAACCCGCGGCCATCTCTAGGGTTTCCTAGGTGTCTGTACCGGCGGCGCAGCCTGTCCGGTGGCGTCCCTCAGTTGGAATTGCAGGGGACTTGATAACCCTGCAACGATTCAGTGCTTTGCCGACCTGTTACAAACGACGAGGCCATCGCTCGTGTTCCTGATGGAAACCAAAGTCCGTTGTCTCAGAGCGAAGGACCTGATTCGAAGGCAGGGGTTCACGGAAGCTTTCAGAATTGATAGTGATGGAACGATTGGGGGTCTCATTCTGGGCTGGAAGGATGATAAAGAAGTCGAAATCTTACAGGGCGAGAAGAACTATATTGACTGCAGAGTCAATTCACAGACGAGCGGCGGGGCATGGCGTCTGACTGGCTACTACGGATTCCCGTAGACCCGGCGGCGATGGGAGGCGTGGGCCATGATGGAAGGGCTGGCGTCGAGTAGTAATGGACCGTGGATGATGATCGCGGACTTCAATGACATACTGTACGAATCGGAAAAGAAAGGGCGCATTCCTTGTGAAGATCACAAGGAATACCCCGTTGAGGCTACGGAGTTTTCGGGAGCCTGTTAACAGCTGCAGGCTAAGAGACCTACCTTTCTCGGTTTACCAGTGGACATGGGATAGGGGCAGGGGTACACCATACTGGGTGGAGGAAAAACTCGATCGGATACTGGTATAAGACGACTGGTGGGACACTTTCCTGGATGCCCAAGCGGAGTCAGTTGAAGCCCCGACTAGTGACCATATGGCCCTCCTTATGAAGATCAAAACATCTAGCCAAGGCAATGGTAAGAGAAGAGTTAAATTTGAAAATAATTGGTTCGGAGAAGAAGAATGTCGGACTATAGTTTCTAATAGCTGGGGCGGCTGCCCATATGAGTATTAGTGATCGCATAGCCTTCTACGGTAAACAGCTTCTATGTTGGGACAAGGGCAGGAAACATAGTTTTAGGCATCAAATTCTAAACAGTAAAAAGAGATTAGCTTGGCTGAGAGGAAAAGAGGACAGAAAAAGTGTCTGTGAATTCCTGAGGGTTCGAACAGTGCTACAAATCCGGTTGGAAAAGGAGAATTTATTCTAGAAACAGAGGGCTAAAGAATTCTGGCTCAAGGAGGGAGATATAAATTCTCGGTTTTTCCACAACGCCGTTAAACAGCGCAGGAGGATGAATAGAATATCGGGCTTGAAATCACCTGATGGAGCCTGGGTCACGGACAGAGGCAAGATGAGCTCTATATATAATCACCAACTATTTTTATCTATTTTTGAGGCTCCGGAAGTGGATCGAGCAGTGGAAGTTCATGGTGATTTCACACAGGTGACCGAAGACCAGAACAACTCTTTGTTGAAACCGATCTGCCCAGAGGAGGTTAAGGAAGCGGTGTTTGATATGCATCCGGAGAAGGCGCCGGGGTCGGATGGTATGAATCCAGCTTTCTTTCAGGCGTACTGGGATGTTATAGGGCCTGAGATATCAGCGCTATGTGCTCAAATGTTTGAATCAGGTACTCTTGTTGTTAACATTAATGTCACCAATTTAGTCCTAATACCTAAGAAAGATAAACCGGACTGTATGGGTGATTGGCGGCCGATAGCCTTATTCAATGTGGTTTATAAATTCTTTACAAAAGTTTTGGCTAATAGGCTAAAGGGTATCCTGAGTGCTCTGGTGGGGGAGAGTCAGAGTGTGTTTGTTCCGGGGCGATCCATCATTGATAATATCTTAGTGGCATTTGAAACCCAACATTACTTGAAAAGAAAAAATAGTGGGAAAGAAGGTTTTGTCGCTTTTAAACTGGATATAAGCAAGTCTTATGATAGGGTGAACTTGTGGTTTCTAGAGGGTATCTTAACTAAGATGAGATTCAGGGGACGATGGATCCAGATGTTCATGGAATGTGTTAGAACAATCATTTACTATGTTCAGTTCGACGATGACTTTTTGGGACCTATCTGTCCGGGAAGGGGACTACGGCAGGGGATCCTTTGTCTCTCTATCTGTTTATTCTGGTTGCAAAAGGTCTGGGTGCACTTATCCGAAAGGCTGAACAACGAGGTGACGTTCACGAAGTTGCTGTCTGCAGAGGAGCACCGCGAGTGTCTCATCTTTTCTTTGTTGACGATGGTTTCTTGTTTTTCAGAGCTTCTGCTCAGGAATGCATCACTGTTAAAAATTCGCTACAGGTTTATGAGGAAAATTCAGGGCAGGCGGTGAACTTCAGGAAATCTACTTTGTCCTTTAGTAGTAACATCACAGATGCCTTTAAGGAGCACTGTTGTAATTTTTTTGGGGTAATGCATGAAGGAGGCCAGCAGAGGTATCTTGGACTACCAAGTCTGGTAGGGCGAGGAAAGTCAGCCATCCTCAGATTTTTACGAGATCGAGTGTTTCAGAGGATTAAGAGCTTGAACAATCGATTCTTATCTCGGGCAGGAAGGGCGGTGTTGCTAAGAAATGTGGTGCAGGCTATGCCAACATATGCCATGAATGTCTTTCTACTACCACGGTATCTGTGTGATGAAATTGAAAAACTAATGAATGGATTTTGGTGGAAGGGGTCTAAGTTTGATCAGAGAGGAATATGGTGGAGAAGATGGAAACTCATGTGCAAGCCGAAGGGAATTGGCGGATTGGGTTTCAGGAAAGTTAAGGAATTTAATATAGCTATGCTTGCTAAGAAGGGATGGAGGCTCCTTTCTGAGCCTGGTAGCTTGATGGGGTGGGTTTTAAAAGCGAGGTATTTTCCTAATTCGGATTTCTTAAAGGCGAAGCTAGGTACTAATCCTTCATACATCTGGCGGAGTATATGGGAATCATAGGATATTCTAAAAAATAATGTCCGCCGGAGAGATGGAAATGGTAGAGATGTTCAGGTCTGGGTGATTCTTGGCTACCAGGGCCTGGGGACGGTAGGGTACAATCTACCAAACCTAACGACATTGCAGATATGAATGTTGCGGCATTAAGGGATGCCACTGGCAAAAGATGGAATACGGAAAGGATAGTGAATATTTGTAACGAAGAAGAGCGTAAAATCATAAGCAGCATCCCTATCAGCATCCACGACAAAAGAGATGATTTTTGGTGGAGCAAGGAACAAAATGGAACTTTTTCGGTTAAAAGCTGCTACAAAGCTTTGATGTCAGGAGTGGTAGGAGGGGGCTGGGTCGGCTGGAAAGGGTTATGGGACCTTAAAATACCCCCAAAAATTAAATATTTTATGTGGCGGGTTCTGGATGATTCTCTTCCATGCTTTACAAACTTGGAGCGAAGAGGTGTGCCGATGCAAAACAGGTGCAAAGCGTGTGCACAAGACCATGAATCTTCAGACCATGCACTCCGGAGATGCCCGCACGCCGCTGAGGTCTGGTCGGCGGCTGGTATTGCTATTGGTAGCGGGGAGGTCACTCTAAAGGACTGGCTTCAGGAGGCGTTGGTGGATCCGGACAAAGATAGGCGGTGCAAAGTTGCTATGCTGACTTGGGGTTTATGGAAACAAAGGAATGAGTTTGTTTGGGAGAATAACTCGCAGAACACGGAGAGTGTCATCAATTGCAGTGCTAGTGTTCAACAGGCTTGGAGAGATGCCCAACATACTGGAATGAAGCCGAGAATGGGAGGAAGAGAGAAGAATCAACGTTGGAAGAGGCCAAGGGGGGAGGTATCAAGACAAACGTGGATGCGGTGGTTGATCACCCATGGGGGGTTAGAGCCTGGGGCTGGGTCATCAGGGATGAGCAGGGCGATTTTGTAAAGGCAGGGGGAGCTTCTTGTAAGGCGGACTAGTCCCCGGCAGAAACAGAAGCTTTCGAAATACGGGAGGCAATTCAGGAAGCTATAGCGAGAGGATGGGAGAATGTCGAGGTTGAAACGGATGCACAAACAATCATTAGAGGTGTACAATGAGGGGGAGGTATCAGTTATATTGATCTTATTATAGATGATATCCGAATTTTACTTCAAAACAAGAGCAGTTATGTCATCTCTTTTTGTAATCGATCTGCGAATCGTGTGACTGATGCCTTGGTAAGAACGCATGTTACCATCTCAGATCATGCTTGGAGTTATAGCCTTATACCGGATTGCATTGTAAGCCATTTGGTGAATGATTTATTAGTTTAATAAAAGTGTTTAGTTCCGTTACAAAAAAAAAAATACTTGACTATGGTGCCAAAATAACTTTTTATATAAAGTTTCGGGTATTTAAAATACATATGCAAGCTTGGAGTGTTCATCTCACACCCTTCAAAGTTTGAGGTAGTTTAATTATTTTTCCCTTAAAGATAATGAGAATTTGACTTTACATCCCATTTTTTGAGTAATATTTGACTTTGTTTCATGCTATGTATTTTCTAAATCATTAATAATATTCATGCACCCCAATTCACTATAAAATTATTTAACTTTGCACTTCAATCATTCAGAACTTTTGGAGGATGAAGTGCATATATTAATGATTTTAGAAATGGGATGTAAAGTTTAATATCACCCAAAACATAAAATAAAAACCAACAATGATCATCAAAGAATTTAAAAAAATACTCCACAATGTACATTATATGCATCGTGACTCGCCTTGTTTAGAAGTGATTCTAGCTTTTCTGGTGTAGAACTTGATGGAACTCCATATTGCAGAAATTCCTGTTAACATTGCATTATAATATGCATGAATGAGAATTACGAACGCATATTACTGTCCAAGAAATAATAACATTCTGTATTAGTAAAGGCAATTTTGACTTTGCATCTTATTTTTTGAATGATACTACCTCCATTCCTATTAAAACTTCCAAATAGGTTTGGCACAAAGTTTAAGATAGTGGGTATTGTGTGGTGGAGAGTTGTGCAGAGGAGAGAGAAATGTGTAAGAAATGTTGTGAACCACAAATTCTTTACTAAAAAGGGAAAGTGGAAGTTTTAATTGGAACGGATGAAAAAGGAAAGTTGGAAGTTTATTTAGAAACGGAGGGAGTATTTGACTTTACACCCCATTTTAAAAATCAGTAACGTGTGCATTTCATTTCAATTATTTTGAAAATGAGATGTAAAATTCAGTATCACTAACATGGTGTACAACTACAAGGTCAAATTGGCTTATTAACAAACATCTTCACCCAATTAATTATAATCATACATACATGCATGATACAAGCATTGTATATGTTGATCCAGAACGCTAACTTCTGTTGCCGTGTCAGAAATCTCAAATCCACCTTCTCTAAATTCTTTATTAAAATCCTAACATGAAAAAATGGCAAAAAATTTATCATTAAAGCTTCAAATTTTAACGTATGACCAATTAAGTCTACGTTTGAATACCAAACTGAAGGTAATTAGAGACTTGTATAATCGAATTAGAGGCTATTATTTGGAGTTGGATAAAAGTTGGTGAAAGTGAAGTGTCAACTAAATGAAGTAGACTTTTGGCTAATTAAACATCTAATATAACGTATGAGAAATGTAAAATTATCATAAAACAACATGTTTTAATAGATCAAAACAAGGTAAACTCTGAGTACTAGGAGGGCAAAACACTGAAAGTATTGATTTTTTATTTAGTTTATTTCAGTTTTAGTTCTTCATCCAAATAAGGCAACATTGAAAATGATTGTCTAAATTGATTAAGTTGAGCTGAAATGCTCATTTAAACATAGCCAGATAGCCTTGTCATGTCTTTAATTATCTAGTACGTAGTATATTCAAATATTTTAAGTTCTCTTTATTAGTATCTTTAAATAATTTTCTTTAAAAAAACATAAAAATGTTAAGCATATAATTATTTTTTATGTTTTAGTACTTAAAAACATTAAATTCTCTTTGTTAGTAATCTAAACTGCTATATACTCCCTCCGTTCCATAATTTACTTCCAACTTTCCCTTTTCGTCTATCCCAAAAAGAACTTATCTTTCCTTTTTGGTAAAGAATTTGTGGTTCAGAGCAATTCTTACACATTCTTACACATTTCTCTCTCATCTGCACAACTCTCCACCACATAATTTCCACTTTCTTATCTGTCTGCCATTTGTACTATGGAAGTAAATTCTGGGACGGAGGGAGTATGGTATAAAGAATATATTGAGTACGTAATACTACTTAATTAAAAAATAAATGACTAAAATAAATATGTAATGGAAAGCTTTTTGTAGCAAAACTTGGATTATGAGGTGTGTTTTGTTTTTGTAGGGTAGCAGGAGGCCTTTATGATTAACGAGTTACTGTGTCTAATTTTAGGACTTGTGATAGAAATGAGGGTACCTCTCTTGACGAATATCTTTAAGTTTTAAGTATCTTCATCTATGAAGTAAGTCTTTTTCATTACAAAACAAGTAAGGATGATTTCTTTTGGATTGAGATTGTTGGTTTGGTCTGGTTAGTTTAATTTCGGTCTGGTCTGATAAATGTTTGGTCTACCTATATATTTTATAATTGTTCAGGTCTGGTATAGGAGAGAAAATAATCCAAAAGAAAACATTCTTGATATATAGGAAGTATGTACATACTTGAGCTTTTGAAACAAGGGAGCTGAGTTTGAGGTTGAGATGCATTTGGAATCCAGAGAAGAGGAGGAGAACTTGACCAAATTCTTGTAAGGGCCAATATCTCTGGGGATGGAGTCTTCTGAGTCGAAAATGGAATAAGGGTCCTGCTGCCTCCAGTCTCTTTGCATGGCGGCCGGAGTGCTGGACGGCTGGTCAGTTCGAAAAGCCAGGGAAAACTTGTTGGAGCGACCTATGCTGCCCGATTTCTCCATCTCCATTGCTCTTGAAGTTCTCAGCAGTCTCACGAAAATGGAGACCAAGCATTTCATGATGCTCTCCGACAGCTTATTGGGAGCCCATCTTTGTGTCGTTTCCTCCAATGGAGATGAAATCATCACTTTTCGAGGCAGTTCTGCTGTGGTAATCTCCATGTTAGGTTCCTTCTGCGAGTAATACATAATTTCTCATTACTCCTTCGTTTATCGGGCAACTTTTTCGCCAAACACGTAAATTTTGATTTCGTGATAATAAGGTTGTCGAATCAACTACCACTTACCCTGGGGTTTGGTTCACGTAAAGGTGAAGCTTGATCAGGTTTGAAAATGGCACGTTTCCTGGGAGCCCTCTCACCAAAGATTCTAACTTCTTCATCATTATTAAACCACAAATGATGCTTATCATTCTTCTCCCTAATGGCTTTGCTAATAAAGTGTAATGCCTTATTAGTCTCAAATGGCAACCCTAATTTGCTGTTATTGTGGAATAACAGAGATGCATTATTCTTCAATCTACTTGACTCCATGGATTTTATGGTGACTTCCATATTCACCCCCTCCTCTTCCTTCAAGTTTACTTTCAGCTTCCTTATTTGGCTTTCTAACCGACTTATCTCTCTTTCCACCAAAACCAGCTCACCCAAAATCTCTTTCGTCTACAATTTATAATTTTTAGTATATAAGATAGTTTTCATTCTTAAACCAGACTTAAACAAATCAGACCAAACTTAAACATATCAACTCAGACTTCGACAATTATAAAATGCACAAAGAACCAGACATTTAACAGAAAAAATTATATACTAGATCATATCATACTTAAACAAACCAAACCAAACCAAACCAAACCAGATTAGACTAGACAAGACCATAAAATTTTAATCTAATTAAACTCATCCATACTAGACATCATTCATCAACTAAAAACTCGTTTATGGTTTTCTTAAAATGTTATTGTAAGAGTATTTATGCATAAAAATACAATTATAGTTATCATGAATATGGTCATAATCACAATATGTAAAATTAAACATAATGTTGATTACTATTATTATCATTATATATATATACATTTTATTTTAGTTATATTTTTCGATCGATCAAAATGAGGTAAATTTCATTGAAATATCAAAGGGTACACTGTAGGAGGATATATATATGTTACCGTGCCTGGCTACTTAAAGAGATTTATATTCTATATGGAATATAAATTATACGTAGTATCTCTTTATTTTAGTTGTATATTGGTGATAATAAATAAAACATATTAATAGAATTCGGTTTTACGTAGTATACATCTTTCGGTGTATATATGTACGGAGTATAAGTTTAAGTTACATATTTACAAAAGTAAAATGCTTAGCCTTTACGATATTTCAAAGAAATTTGGCTACTATGTAAATCCAATTATAACGCACAAATTTGTGGACATTGACGCTATCAATACTATTTTAATCACGAATTTGACATACCACTTATTGTTTTTATTTTGTAACTTTATTTGTTTATAGATTTTGTCTTGTAATCAACAAAATCTATCAATTTAATGATTGTTCCGTCAAAAAGTTCACTTTCTCACAAACGACATGCAAGCTACCTCCGTCTCTTGTTGTGATTACTTCTACTTTTAAAAAGTGATTTTTTAAAGTGATTTTGGAGGAAAAAAAATATATACTAAAAGTTGCTAGTGTTTGAAAAAAAATGATTATGAAAAAGTAAAAGTTGGTAATATTTGATAGAATAAGTGTTTTTTGTGTAATTGAAAAAGTGAAAAATAGTTTAAAGCAACTCTCAACTTGCTTTAAGCTTTTAGCTTTTAAGTGGTTAATTTAATCAGAAGTTATCATTTGAAAACACCCATTTCATCTTTTTTTTAAGTCAAAAGCTGAAAAACACTTATTTTAATCTTTAGCAAACACTCTTTAACATTGAGAAATGAAGAGGTGAAACGATTATTAAGAAAAGTGAGTTTATGTAATTGATATAGAATTAATAAAGTAAGAATACCGTAAGAATGAATTAGAGTCACACAAATTTTACCAAATTTTGAATGAGACAATCTTAGTGAGATTTTCCGAAAAGGAAAAATGGGACAATCTTAACGGGACGGATGGAGTACTAGAAAAGACATTGCCATGGTCAAAGTTTTCACCAAAAAGTGTATTTTCCATTGAAAAAAACTTTAATGTGAATAAGTTTATTAGTTACAAGACTATATCTCGAGTGAGTAAAGTTACAAAATAAAAAACAGACACAACCAAAAATTATGAGACAGAATTAAATGTACAGTTTTCTCGTTTTATCATAATCATCAATGTATTACGGATCGGAGTATGTATACAGAGGCCTAGCTAGGGGAGGGCCAACCCTGGTCCCGGCCCAGCCTAACTTTAAAAAATGTCTGTATTTTTAGTATAAAAAATTCCGTGTAAAATTTTTTTCAAAAATATTCTTTGTGCCGGTCACCCGGTGTCCTGACTCCGCCTCTGTATTATATGCTTGATAATACTTCCAACTAAAAAAGTATAGTTGTGAAGATGCCATAACTATAACTGTCTTGCAAATTAAGTCTGTTTAGCAATAAGACTAATACTACGTATAATAGGGAGTAACAATAATACTTGTATAGAGTAGTAGAATTAGTAGTAATAGTAATAAAGGGTAGAATATTAACTATATAGTTCAAACAGGATGAGACAGAATATATATCAAAATCCATACCTTTGGGGGAATAAAATTAGGAATGTTGATATCTGAAACATTCTTCAGGTGGTAAACACGATCCAGATATTCGTGCAACTTCTGTTCATGACCCAGTGTCTTACTAAGATCACAAACCTAAAATTCAATTAAATACATCCACACAAATATCATTTTTCAAATCAAATATATATAATTATTGTGTAGATCGAATACAACATCTCCTGAAATTTGAAAGTATACGTTAAGTCATACTCAGTATAATATTACTCAAATATAGAAAATATAGATTTTAATGTATGTATTATAAATTCATTTATAACGTTGAAGCTAAGCCAAATTCTTGATAGTTTTAGAGCCCGTTTGGTAGCCCCTTTTTCGGCTTAGCAGCCAGTTTTTTCACCAAACACATAACTTCTAGTTTCGCGCGTTGAATTGGGTAATAATAAAAAAAAGTAATGTTTGACTTATTTTTCTGATATTTTTTTATTTATTTTGATAAATAAGGAAGCTGAAAGTAAGGATATTTTTTGTGTTCTATTAGTTGAAGTTACTGTAGAGTATCATTTTAACTATTTTTTCTGATATTTTTTTATTTATTTATTAATAACAAATATTTTAAGTATAATTTTTTCATAAATCAGCAGAATCAGTCAATACAGCCAGTTCAGCCACAACTTCATTAATTTCAGCAGAATCAGCCAATTTCAGTGTTACCAAGCGGTTATACTCTGTATAATCTTATAACTTTATGTTGAAGCTAGCCAAAGTATTAATACTCGTAGTTTGATATAATCACTATCTATAAGACTAATTCGACATAGTACTGATCGAAATCGAAATTAGGAGGAAATCAAATTAATATATGTATCGTTAGGTATAACCTATAAACAATTAAGCATCCAATTGATCAGAAAGAACTTACATATATTATTGGATATGAATTTAATTAGGGATTGAGAAAGCAAGTAAATTAAGATTCAACATTCCAGTATGGTAGTCTACGTATAGGATGATCAAGCATTCAAGCCCAGGAAGACGTACTGACAATATATTATATGATGGTCCATGCAGAATAACATTAATGGAGCAAAACAAGCTTTATACTCTACGGTGTGTCCATGACCAAATTTGATCCCCAAATTTGGCGTGGCGAAAAATGCTTGAAAATTCCAAAATAAGACTGTCATATTTTTATTCTCTAAATATGAGTAATTACTGTCAAGTTTGAAAAATACTGTCATATTTAAAGTCTGGTATTGCCAAAACTTGGCGCGCAATAATTAATCATATTTAGGGAATAAAAATATGATAGTCCAATTTTGGAATAAACAAACATATTTACTCTTATTTAGGACAATATTCTTTTAAATTACGATATTTAATTTACGATATATATCATTATAATAATGATATTTATATATATTGTTGTTTTAGGGAGAAGGGCGTTTCTTAACTTCAGTTGAGGTTTGAGTATTATTCCATCCAAAGTTCGAGTCAAATTATTTGGCACGTGCTCCGGTAGTGGCTGGAATTCTTGTTCCGAGCTAAATCCGATCCAAGCCAATTACATTCGAAATTTTACAAAGGATTCCAAGCCTAAGTCGTTCATGGTTTATGCGATATTTTTAGTAGTGCTTGTGAGCAATTACGGACATCTATGGATCTACCTCTTTGCAAAACTTCTCAACATAAGAGCAAAAGAAGAGTGATTTTCTTATATAAGGATGGTCATGTTATACTCAAAACTAGTAAGGATATTTTTACTTGGATTGTAATTTATTGGTCTGATCTGTTTAAGTCTGATCTGATCTGAGATTGAAAATAATCCAAGTAAAAACATCATCAAATCATATGTCGTACTATGATGACATATATATATATATATGCATTGATGTAACACTATTAATATCACAAATGTGGTTTCAAGATAACATTAGTAACACTATTGATATCACAAATGTGGTTTCAAGATAACATTAGTTACACTGTGTTTATAAAAAAACAATACTCATCACACCAAAGATAACCACATCATTTATAACTCCTAGCATGCAGAACCTCATCCCTAATACATGATGAAATGGAAGGGGAGAAAACTTTGGCAAGGATTATTGATGCTACATGAAGAGTAGTTGCAAATTTGCAATTGTGAATTAGTGATCGATTACATAAGGAATTGATAACTTGTACTCGCTCCAAGTCCATTTTGGTTGTCCTACTTTTTTGAATGTAATGTTTCTATTTTTGACTGAAATTTGTGGTATTTAACATTTCACCTTATTCTACTTAAATTTCAATAACAAGTGTTACTTTTCAACCACTTTATTAATAATTGTACCAAATTGAAACAGAACGGATGTAGTATTTTGTTGCACTAGTTACCATGTCAATCTTGTATTTCACATTTCTCTGTTCACTTACTTTGTTATAAACTAAGGACTTGGATTGGCTTCCCTCTTTGATCAAATTAGATTACACCAAATTTAAACAAATCAGACTACGTATATGCATCAAACCTGTAATAGACGAGAGATGAAACCAAAAAATTCAACAGAATAAAAACATCATAATAGATCTCATTTCATTATAAACAAGATTCATGCAATGGGCCCTTCAACTTATCATACAAACCTCTCTTTGAAGTTCTTCCCTTCTTTGCTCTCCAGTAGGATTCGTCATTCTCGGCGGCATAAAAAACAAGAGGTGCAGCGTATGAAATTACACGTTAATACGTTATTATATCAATTCAATATAGTAGATGAGATGGATTGGATTAGAAGCAAGAAAGGGCTATTGGGGTGGGAGTGGCTTTAATTTTGGTCCAAGCTAAGCTGTTTTTGAGAGTTTTCATGATTTTCTTGAGAATTAAGTATGGGATAGGATGATGGAAGGGAGCTTTCCAAGTCGGGCATGTCTAATTATTGGCTGTACGTTAGTTGTGGGTGGGAATGGGAGGGACATCATTTTATGACGATAGTCTCTCCCTGTTCCATTTAAACTTTCTCACCCGATTTACTACGTTTGATTGTCCATAAAATTAATCGATCTCTGTTATTAGTAGAATTATTTTTAATAAATAAAATTTAAATATTCAGAAACTACATTAAAATCGCTACAAAGTCTGATCAAGAAAATTTAAATTTTATAAAAGTTGAATATATAAAGTAAAAAATTAAGAACAACGCATGTTGACCGGAGAATAGTGAGAGGGGAACTTTAAATGGGACGGAAGGAGTGTTATATATACCTATGCAGCTATGCCGGCGGCTCAAGACAACAAAAGCAATAATTTAAATTTTATAACACCTCTCTCATATTCACATAATCAATTAGAAATTTTCTCTCCTTTCAAAAAAAATAGAAATTTCCTGTAGTAAAAAAAATTTCAAATAAAGAACAAAAATATCTTTTGTACACACTTTTACTATTTACACACTTTTACATATTGTCTGTGAAGGCTTTTTTGTTTGTAACAGACAAAAAAAGCTTTTAGAAGCAGTGTACAAGTGTGTAAACAATAAAGTGTGTACAACAAGAATGGTTTAATAAAAAGAAATACTTTACTAATTTCTTTTCTAAACAGAAGTAATTAGTGACATTTTAAAATCATACTGTCATTTGTTAACATTATCAAATATTATTATATTTCGTAATAATAAAATATACACTATAATCTCGTAGTAATTACTCCTATTTTGAAAAAATATAACACGTTATTTTTACTCTTATTTAGAGCAACTTCTCATTTTCCAAAGATGAAGTTACACGTATAAAATCTTATGAATAAAGTGTTGTTTGATTATTGAGTTGTTGCTTTATAGCACGTAGTAATCTAGCTAATATTGTTAGTTCTTTCTGTATTTGTAAAATATACGGAGTAATTGAAGTACATTTTTAATATTTGTATGTGTTTGTCATATGCTACTTTCTAATTTTATCTTTAAAGAAGGAATTAGTTCGTATGTAATTGTCATTATTAGATACTTTATTTTGACTACATTAGTGAGTATTACACTCTCTACTTTGACTACATTTTATTTATTGATGTATTATAAATTATTCTCTCCGTCCCGCTAATATTGTCTCATTTTACCTTTTCGGGAAATCTCACTACAATTGTCTCATACCAAATTTCGTAAAGTTTGTGTGGCTTTAAATCATTCTTACTTTATCAACTAATAGCAACCACACAAACCCATTTTTCCTAACAATCGTGTCACGCTCTTTCGTCCCAATATTAGTGGGACAGAGGTAGTTTTTTTTTTTTTTGAAAAAATATTTTTAAATTCCTCTCATTTTAAATTTTGAAAATATGAAATTTTTAATTTTTTATAAATAAGAAATGAAATATATTAATGGTCTAACTTGTGTGTTGACAGACGTGAAAAGTGAACCGTTACAACTAAAAGAGAATGGAGGAATGATGTGAGTTTTCTCGCACTTAAAATACGTAGCAGTATAGGGCTAAAGTACGAGTATCGTCTCCACAGGGACGGAAAAAAGGGAATCAAGAATTAAATAAATTCAACGATTAAAATAAATAAAATAAATGCAATATGCGAGATTTGGATTTGTTGGAAAATTAAATTGCGAATACATATTAAAATAAATGGGTTCTTTCTAATTAACGACGATAGAGAATATGGATTGATTCTGGGGTAATCAAATTTCTAGCTGATCAGGCTTAATCACATGAAAATTATTTAATTGAGCAACACTAATCAATATTAAGTTCTTACCGCTCTCGCGGCGTAGAGTACAATAATTTAGGAAACCAGGTTGATCTATCATGCGACAGATTTCTAAATTATTGCCAAAACGAGGGAGCGTACGACCCCCTATATAGGAGACTCTGTCCGGCCGTCGTCATTTGGGACGGTTCCCGGTGAAAGTTTTTGATGAACTTTTTTGAGCATCTTCTTCATTAAGCCTAGTTTACTCATACCAAATTTCAGATAAAAATTCAATCGGGAAAACAGTCAAATCATTTTCTGAAATGTACTGCGTTGTTTAACTGCGCAATTATCTTCAAAAATTCATTTGACATGTCTTACCGATTGAATTTTTAGCTGAAATTTTGTATGAGTAAACTAGACTTAATGAAGAAGATGCCCAAAATAATTCATCAAAAAATTCCACCGGGAACCACCCCCAAATGGTGACGGCCGGACAGAACCTCCTATATAAGGGGTGATTTGAACTTTTTAAGTTAGTTCGAGGGCCTATTTGACCATTTTCCCTAATAACAATAACAATTAATTATAAGAGTGCATCACACATCATTTCCCACTAAAACTGGGGAGGATCTAAGTCACCAACCTCCCAAGTGTCATTTAACTTCTCTTTCTCCCAAGAATGCTGTTTTAGTTGAGAATTTGCAAGTCTTTTCCACTGTCATATAATGAGATGTAGTGCTCATGTTTAATCAGATGTGTTGCCTATTTTTTCCCATTGTCATATTAGATTTTTGCATACAGCAGAGTTTGATGTCAGACAAGAATCAAAATCTCACTATGCACCTAAAATACTTCTAAGCTTTTTTGCTGACTTGGAATGAGGATTCATATGCACTGTTCAAACATTTTTAATGAAAAGAAAAAGAATCACAAAAATTAGAAAACGGCAGCAAGATGCTGCCTTCATTTCCTATATATCATTAGAATGCTAGAAATCCTCTTCATTTTGTTGATTTCCAGCACAATAATCTTGTCATGGGCTATTTTTCCATATATCCAAATTGCCAAATTCTTCCATGCTCACAAAAGCCAAGCAGGAGAACTAAAACAAATGGATTCATTTCCTCTGGAATGCAATTAGGCTGAAGAAGGCTATAATCCGGCTGAGAATGCCTGTTAGAATGAGGCAACCCAAACAAGAATACCAATCTGAAAGAAGGAAACTTTTTTGTTTCAACACACCACATCTTGTGATCAGCCACACTCCAGAATACCTGGAAAGAAAATGGTCGCATTGATGAATGTGAGCCCAAAATTTGCTGCACTGCAACCCAATTTTCAGCAGTTCAGCCCTTTAAACTTGCATAGCCATGTCCCAGAATTTATTTAGATGGATAAAAAATATTCCCTTTTTTCCACTCACTCATGTGACATAGATAAATTCTGAATTCATTTCACTCGTTCGTGTGACACCAAATACTTCAAAAATATATCCAAGCATAACGTTGTGTTTGGATTCCAGTTTGTCAAGAATTAGTTTACTGAAAGTTATTTACAGTCAGAATTTTTTAAGTCAGTTTGATAAACTAAAAGCAGTTTGGAAAAGAAACCCAAAGCTTTCAAGATTAGAATTATAACTCAAAGTTATTCAAAACTTCTAGGAAGAATGTCTGAAATTAAAAAAATAAAGCTAACAACTTTTGATTCCCAGAACACTTTAGGGAATTCAAACATGAAATGCAAATATGGTCTTGATGGAAATCTAACCTTTTAGCATTTGCAATCAAAAAAGCTTCCAAAGTCCACTTAGTATAGCAAAAATCTCCTAATTGTCCGAGATATGAGTCACTTCTCTGGTTTGCCACAAGAGTCAAAACAACTGGAAGCAAAACTGACCACTGCAGTAAACAACATAGTTATATGTGAGCAAAGTCTGAGTTGAATACCATGATTTAGTTCATAGATAGATGGTTTGAATGCTCACCAGCTGAGCTTGTCCAGGTTCAAAACAGATAGCAAGCACATAGGCAATGCCAGTGGCAGCATACACAAGACAAAGAAGGACCAGATAGTTATCCTGAATTGTGGATCTTGGATTGTTGAAGAAATAGAACATTGACAGATAAACTGCTGGCTTTACAATGGTATTCAAATGGTCAACTGTGTCCTTTGCCATGAAAAAAGCCAAGCTGCTCATGCCAGAAGCGCTTTCTCTCCAGTAGTGTAATTTATCCAACGAAAATGATCTCAGTGCCGCAATCTTGGTAAGTAGAGCTGCAAGTCAGTACTGAGACTTAGTACTAGGGTGTTTTTGTTTTAGTACTCAGATTCAATACTTGGTTGTTTAAAAGTTTTTGCTTCTGCTTTTGTTTTGGTTCTCACTTTTCCAAAATTAAAATTTTAAAAATTATTTAAATTAAATTTCTTGATTTCATTTTACTCAGAAACGTGTATTTGGTTTTTACACTAGTTAGAAAAGATTCAAATTTACTAAGAAACTCATATATTCATGCATTAAATTTTGCAAATCAATATATAGTAAATTATGAAAATAAAAACAAAGGTAAAATAAAAACATTATTTTTAACCGAGAAACAAACACATAGCACGAAAAGTTACCAAACAAGACGTAGCAAAAAATTACGTTTACTTACAGACTGCAATTACAGTGTAAAGATATCCCATGGTCCCAAAGCTTTCATCACTTACTTTAGCAAGTGTTCCTAAACAGATTCCAGCCAGTAATAGAATAAGATAGTCTACTGCCTGTACCATAGCTTCTCGCAAGCGCTGTTTACCAATCCTAAACAAATTGCATTGCCAGTATGTTATATTTTGACAAAAGAATATAAACAAAAATTCCTATAAATGATAGGTCACCCTGTAATGATATGTTTGGATCCTTTGAAATGTAAGGGAAAATGAAAAGGAAAATGAAATATGAATAACTTTTACATTGTTTAAATATTTAGATTCCTCAGTGTCTAAATAATAATAGAAATAACTTACTAAATTGTGTTTTGAAAAAATATATAATAATAAATTTACTGAGTTGGAAATTATCCCCCCAACATTTTCTTTATTACAAGTTTCCTTTCCCTATCATCATTTTCCGAACTCATCATTTTCCTTTCCGCTTGAGGAATGCCAGAATCAAACAAAATGTAAGAGTAGCACTTATTGAAGATAAGATGTGAGAGTTTTGATTGAGGTGGTTTGGCCATGTGCGTAGAAGACCGAGCGATGCTCCTATAAGACAAGTTGAGAGGTGGGAAGAAGAGCCGGGGAGGAGAGGGAGAGGAAGACCCAAATATATGTGGATTAGAGGGGTCAGGAATGATATGATACTTCTTGGGTTGGATGAGAGTATGACTTTGGAAAGAGCGAAGTAGAGGGAGAATATACATGTGGAGGACTGGAGGATTGGTCTCGTTTTATCTTTATTATCTTCTTCATCTTTTTATCCTTTTTATCTTATCTTTCTTGTCTTATCTTTTCTTATCTTGATCTAATCTTTATCTTATCTTTTTATCTTTTTTTACTCCAATTTCATATTAGCCGACACCAAACTCTTTTGGGACTAAGGCTTGGATGTTGTTGTATAGGAATATGTTTTTGTTTAAATTTTGATAAAGATAACAGAATAAAGAGAACTGCAAGTTTAGTTCTTACCTTCCAAGAAAGTATTTATACTGAACCAATAAACCAGGAGTTTCCCTATTGGACAAGTCCTTTAAAGTCAAGAAGTAATGTTGCACTTGGTCCTTTTTCTGCACCGCATTAGATTTGAGGTCCAGCCATAGGTTTTCCAGCAGAGTTACATCAGGCTCCTCAGAAGCAGGAGCTCCTTCAGGAGCTTCTGCATTTTCCCCATTAGGAGCAGATGGTAATCCAGCAGGCTCTAGCATGTCTGGTGGTACGGGATAGCCATTATGAAGCATCCATCTCAGAGGAAGATCTTTGTAGTTCACTCCGATATCTGGGCTTAGTTTTTCAATTCCCTCTAAAAGATCAATGAAATAATCAGGGGGGTTGACACGCTCGGGGACATGAATCCCCAGGCCTGCAAAGTACTCTTCAACTTTCTTCACTGGTCCATGATAGACGACAAGCCCGCCCTTGGCAAGAAGTATGAAATCATCGAACATATTGAATAATGCATAGCTGAAAGCACAAAATCCATTGCTTAGATTTTTAATGGAAGAGGAAAGGGGGAACTAAAATAGATGATATGGATGTGATGAGCAATGAGCAAACTAAATATCCAAAAATAAATCTTACTCCCACTATTTCACAATGCCTGTCTTCAAGGACTAAAGCTTACAGATTACGGTACTCATTTTATATCTAAATCCTAGATATTGTACTAAATTTTCTCTGAAACAATTTATAATAACCAAAACGGAGGGAGAGTACTTTTTAATTATAAAGATTCAATACTTCACATTCCATGTTTGTCACTACTAGAAGTTAGAAAAGGTGTATGGTGTCACACAACTTAACACATCAAGGTATGTAAAAGTTTATATGTTCATTTACAGATTAGAGTTCCAAGTGCATAATAAAAGTAGTGGAGCAAGTAACAACTCCATCCATGTAGTAGTGCAATAATGGTGTAAAGCAATCAAGGCAATCAAGACTAAAAATATGAAGGTTTTCAAAAATGGAATTACCTTGGTTGGTGAAGCACCATGCATATATTTACTCCTTCAAGAGCCTCGCGGCGAAGTGCTCTAAGTAATAACTGAGAAGAAGCACTGTCCAAACCAGAGGTGGGTTCATCTAAGATCAGTAATGAAGGTTCCATTACCATTTCCAGCCCAACGTTTACTCGCTTCCTTTGGCCGCCAGAAATGCCTCTTTTTTCCACTGTACCAACAAGGGAATCTCTCACATTTTGCAATCCCAGAGATTCAATTACTCTTTCCACAACCAAAACCTTTTCTGCTTTTGGAAGTTTTGCTGGCAACCTAGAAAAGTAATAGACTTATGAGTAAACAAAGCTACAATCTTTACACTTGAAATCAAAACCGTTAAATCCGGTTTGATGAGCAGAAGAGACTACTCGATGTGGTTTTATTAGTCAATAATATATTAACTTAATACATCCTATATGTAGGTTGAAAAGGTAAAAGAAAAACAGTAGCATGCCTGCATATTGCGCTAAACCAGAGATTTTCTTGCACAGTCAAATTTCCATGTACTATATCATCTTGTGGAACAAAGCCAATAATTTTTTTGTATGGCTGCATGGCTGCAACCTTGCCATTTATAAGAAGAACACCACTCATGTTACACCCTATAGCTTTTCCAGTCAAAGCAGAAATGAATGTTGTCTTTCCAGCCCCGGATGGACCCATAACAGCAGAAACACGACCAGGTGACAACTTCCCATATACACACCTCAACAGATGCTTCTTTTCCCCTTTTAAAGTAAGCGTCAGATCTTTAAAAGCAACCTCAATTGGAGGTCTGGTTATAAATTTACTATCAGTCCCCATTGAGATGACACCAGAGAAGCTCAGATTTGGGCTGTTCTCCTGAAGAGCTTTTTCTTTCTCGATTTCACCATAAGCATATCTGAAAATCTCACTGCGTGTATGCAAGTGCTTAGCCTTGTGAGGTTTCTTTTTTGAATTTTTTCCCTCAATCTCAATGTTGAAATCATCGTAACTCTCGGAGTTATCTTCAGAAGGGTCAGGTGGCAAGGAAGAGTCTGTGGGTTGACTGCATGAAATCTTTGTTTCCTCCCTCACTGATCTCTTACGAGAAAATGTCCTCGACAACTGTGACTGAAGTTCAGTTGCACGCTTTCGAGCAATATCCTTTGCAGATTTCCATTTTTGACGTGCTTGTACAGTTTCCCTTACACTTCTTACAGCAGCTTCTCTGGATTTGGCTTGCCTTTTCTCTCTAGTGCTCAGTACTCGGTCCGAGCAATTGTATATAACAAAAAGTATGAGAATGATTCCAGCCTAGTTGACCAATAAAGAGTGAAATGAAGTTAAGGAAGGTTGACATGGAACGTGTCTGAATATATGCTGGAATATAAAATTATGATTGAGGATGAATCCTGCTTTGAACACTTGTAGAGGAAAATGTTAGCAATTAAGTCCAATCAAATCCTCTCCTTCCACTGTCTTGCAAACGAAAAATGCCAATAGGAAATATTTTCTGAAAGGGTACATCACTGCATCCAATATAAGTATGCAAGCTAGAGTTTATAAGTGAGACTATGATCTATAAACTTACAACAAGAAGGGCCCCATATGCAGTGATGTTTTGATTTTCCGTTTGGGGATCACATGTAGCCAACTCAACACACTCTGCAAGTTCATCAATATTAACATCACTAGAAGAACATTCATACATCAATCTTACGTGGTGCAGGTTAAGCATACCACAGAGTGAAGACAAAAGAAAAATCTCTCATATTACTTCTCTTTTTTATAGATCTTTTAATTCCCTCCCTGGTGGTATCAAAGCTCTCCTAGTTTTGCACAAAAGCATGTGTTTCTAACATGAGACTTCGTATTGGCTAATTCTTAATCAAGTACCTACACAGATGGTTCTTGGGGGCCACTACTTAGAAGTCACATTTTTACCATTTAGTAATTCAAAAGGGTAGGAAATGGGTAGAACGTTTCTATTTCTATAATCAAGTCCCAAAGTGAATAGTTGCAGGTATACACTGATATCAACATTCTTACATTCCTCAATTACGCAGAACAGTGAACAGTGTGGTTCCCCATTCCCAATATAATTTGGACTCTTTGTATAATACACGTGGGAGGTTGCACCTATTGAAAATAAGATGCAAGAATCTTGATTGCAGTGGTTTGTCCATATGTGTCGAAGACTGAGTGATGCGCCTGTGAAACGAAGTGTGAGGTGTGGAGAAGAGGCAGGGAGAGGAGGGAGAGGACGACCCAACCAAATGTGGATTAGAGTGGTCAGAAATTATATAGTACTTCTTGGGGTTAGATGAGAGTATGACTTTGCAAAGAGCAAAGTGGAGGGAGAGTGGAGGAGGATTGATCTGTTTTTGTTTGTCTCCTTTTACTCTATTTATCTTTTTAACTCCGATTTCATATGTCGTTTCATGTTAGCCAACCCCAAACTCTTTTGGGACTAAGCCTTGGATGTTGTTGTTGTTTGTATAATACAAGTCTGTCTACAGGCATCTCGAATACAATGTTTTGTTAATCTTATATCACTAAAATAGTAAAATGGAAGTATTGCATAAATGCTACTCTAGGACATTATCGAACCAACAAACAATGAACCACTATCTTTTTCATAAGAACTAAAACTATTGAGATATGAGGATAACACCACCATACAAGAGAAAGACGTACTTGTTTGGGTCGTTGAGCCAGTTCTGCAGTAATGTCTGGAAAATTATAAATGAATAGTGAGTAACGGGATATCACTGAAAAGCTTCAGAAGAATGGGTTAAGATATGCAGACAGTGTGCAAGAAAAACTTTGCAGCCTAAAAATGCATGATCTGGAAGGAGAAAAGAAATTTGAACTGCAAAACTGGGATAAAATCAATACCCACTATCACATGGAATTTTTTGGATAGTAGTTGGACAGTAAGATCCTGCTGGGCAGAATAGATCATGACCGGTAATAATATCCGCCCACATATCTGCTCCACCACATGTTTGATTACTTTGACCAGGCTGCACTTGATAATTATACCTGCAATGTATCAGCTGAGAGTATAGGCTTTGTAACAAATGCAAAAAGAAGCTTTTGCTTCATAAAAGTGTCAAACTTACGGATCACACCCTGCAGTAGCTTCGTTGAGTTTTGCCAAAGGGCAATAAGATCCTAGAGGACAGGCTTCACCCGGAAACACAAGCGAAAAAATCAGGAGAAAAACAATTGAAAGTTAACACTGATAAATGTTTCCTTCATACATTCTTCAATGACACAATAATAGATCTTTCAGGGAGATTTATTTTAAATGGTTCAAGAAAAATTAGGAATGCATGCCAATCAAATAATCACTTATTAGAAAGAAAAAAAAAGTTTAACTTTCTTACACGATAAGGTCTTAGATGTAAAGTGACTTCATCCTTTTGGACATGTTTTGAACCCGGAAATGGTAGGAAAGGGGGGATGCCTAGCTAAATTGGTTTCTAATGCTTGGGTTTATCAGGGAAATACAAAGGAATATAAAATTTTATTAGCAGTTTTTAAGATTTCACATACATTTACACTTCTTGATATTTGTATAATAACATATAAAAATAGAATACGTCAAAACAATATTTAAAACTAATTTATTGATTTTGAACCTTTTTTGTTTTTCCCCACATTTTCTCTTCTTCCAAATTTCCCCTCTATTTTACTTCTTATTTTCTTTCCCTACCACTTTTTGGATTCGGAACAGATCGTTCATCTTTCTTGCTTTTGTCCTTGGTGAGGTGGGGAAAGTGTTTTTTTTTTGCATCACCAAGCATTCAAACTTAGAATAGTAATTCGCTAACATGCTAAAGGTATTCTAACCTAGCTTTGGAAGAATCTAACAATTGCCAACTTTAAGAAGAAAATTGCACCGACATAACAATATTGATCATAGTTTTTTTAACTTTATTTTTATCCTTAATTAGATGTTTTATTCAAGCAGATCCATGATAAGTCATTGAGCTAGCAAAATTTATAGATTAACGATCTTTATAAGGGAACAAGCACATATCTTTTCTTGACATATGTTTAGAGAAGATAATAGGAGAAAGTAAGTGTTGCTTCTGAAGAAGGTGCCTTGTTTAATTAATGGAATTAATTTTCCTCAAACAGAAACCTTGATGATATAAGATGGCCATCTGCAAAAAACAATGCCTGGCAGGCTGGCATGGTCATCCTAGGATACCCAGAATCACCCAAATGTCTGGTCCACAATGTGTGTGTGTGTGAATGTGTGTGTGTGTGTGTGTGTGTGTGTGTGAATGTGGTAGCAATGATGAAGAAAAGTAAAAAGTGCGGATACTCACGCAACATGCAGGTGAGACCATGAGGACAGAAGAAGCCTTCACAACATGGTTGACAATTGTTCGTTCTTGTTGGGATTTCCTTCATATTTTTAAGATCAACGGCCACATCTTTTCCAACACTACAAGCCCATCCAGGGTCACAACCAGAATTCCAAGATGATAAATTACAGTTCTTGTTAAGTGTCACAAAGTTCGTACTCTTTCTTTGCAGTGCACCCATCATTATATTAGCCGCATAAAACTGTATTTCTGATGCTGTACACAGCCGCTCCATCATATCCCCTGTGAGTCCATGAAGAAGAAAACTTCATATCACTAGTCAAGACAAAATAACTAAAAGCAGCATTTGCATCCAATTTTGGAATCATTTGTATTATGAACTCCAAGATACTATTTGAGCACAAAAAACCTATTTGACTTTTAAGTGGAAAATTTTCCTTCTACAGACATGGTGTGTCCCATCATTTGTGGGGCAAAGAGGAAAGGATGTTATTAAATTATGCTTAAGAAGGTTACAGTAAAAGTCTCCGGAAGGGAAGGTAGATTTTTATCTTTTGGCTGACAGTGTTGCTATGTTTTATTGCTTCAGAGCCTGCTAGATCATTCTCTGGGAAATGAATGTTAGGAATTAAAGCAGAAACTGAGTCTGCTTATCCATTAGAAGCTCAATGATGAGAAAGCTAATATTTTGTGGTACAAGTGGTAAAAAGTTGGACAAATTGCAATCTTTAGTAGATTGAGGCATTGAGCATAGCCAAACAGTAGCTTACTTTCATAATCTGGGACAACATGATTCAGCCCATAAGGGTAGTCGAGTTGGTCGGATATTTGATGTGACTAATATATGTTTGTGTTGCACTTCTGCATAAGGTGAGGCATGAGAAGCAATCTTTAGCTATAGCTCATTGAAATGCAAATCATGTACGAAAATATGGAAAAATTCTAATGACATTATGAGCGTCTTGTCCTTCCCTCACATATAGTGACATGATTGTTATTATTACTATTATATTATCATCATTTCCTATTATTATCATCACCACTATAAGTATAACCATCAAATGCTTCCTGTCTTGTGTGCATACTGTTTTTTGCAATAAACTTACTCAGCTCCATCTACTTTGATGGTTAGGTTGCCTTTAGAAAATAAGCTTAGAGAAGTCAAGTGTCTCTCTGGTGCCTCAACTTTGGCTTATTAGACTCATACTCTTATTTTAGCCATGCTTTTTGCCAAACATCATCTTATTTGATCATGTTGGTGGCAATGTGGCGTGGAGCCAGCTGGTATGTAATGGAAAAAGTAGTGCAGAAAAAATAAGGTAAGGTTTCATTGAAGTTGTTGAAATGAAAGACTTTTCCCACTTCAGAACAACTTACTAATACCAAACGAATAATTTTTCCCACTTCAGACATTTCAGAACAATTTCCTACTCCATATCAACAAACGAGCTCTATATTTTTGTACAACTTCTAAACTAAGTAGTATCTAATGTATTCCTTCCGTTGTATAAAAAAAAAGTATCTATGTATGGTCTCAATAAATCGATTAAAATATTTTTCCCAAACACGCGCCACTGACAATGTATCATATCGCAGACTAATTCGCATGATCCAGTGTAGCAGCAGCATACCTTTTGTTCTCTTGATGCAATTGGACAGAAACTCTGTATCAGTAAAATCAAATGCCCTTTTCCATTCAACATCCCTGAAAAGCAGTATTGATAAGAAATTCATAGCATATCTGGTGTTCCATAATCAAGTAAAGTCATTCAGGATATGGAATTTTAGAAATTTCTATTTTAAAAATTAATAAGGAGTAATAGAATTTAAGCGCGCGGGAGTTTAAAAATGCAATCTTTATGAACAACTTATCATTCAGAACTTTCATAGAAACCTTATCCCGTAAAAATGCAATCTTTAAGAGTTTAAAAATAAAATCTTTATGCAATATTTTAAAGCAGCCACATTTTCTTCAAATTTATGCCGAACTCCCATAAAAAAGTTATGAATAGCTTCGGGTATCATTCAGATTATTCACAGGTTGGAATTCATTGAAATGGCTTACACATTTTCGATGCAAAAACCCAATTGTTCGGTAATTTTATCACCGAAGAGGGCCGTGAAGTTCTTCAACTTGTTAGAGACGGTGCGCGTGAGGAGCTGCACCTCCGCCGGGTTATTGACGTCGAGGGCGGCGTAGCTCGGACGCGTCGTCGCCGGAGAAACCAAAACGGAGATGAAGCAGAAAAAGAAGGCATTTGTGCCGTAGAGGTGCCCCTCTTTCTGCCTGTGCATTTTTCGAAGCACAGACACAAGAAATGGAATTTTCTTTCCGGTGAATCTTCGAGTTCGTGATCTGCAAATTGAGAGAAAGGGCAGAGTAATTCTTCTTCTTCTTCTTTTCTTTTTCAGAGGGAAAGAATGGCGGGGAGAGAAAAAGGGAGGAAAGGGAAGAGGAAGACAGGGGAGGAACTTGGAAAGACCGTCAGGTGGAATTAAAAACTTTCAGGGGAAACTATAATGAAGTGATAACGGTCACTGCATGAAGCTTTCGATTCGTTAACTACTTGGGTCCAATACGGTCAATTGTGGCCCCTCTATTTTATCTACGAGTACTTTTTTAATTTTATTCTAATTTAATACAGCATTTTGGTTCTTATCTTTGCCTCACTCACTTTAAGTTAAGAATTTTACAGATGACATACAGAAATGATGTAACTCATTTAAGTCACTTAGAGCAGCTCCAATGCAAAAACGTGAACGATGCATACGTGACATATTTGAACGGTTTAATATGTTTTTGGTAAATTTTTCTCTACAATATCACACACAATATCTAGATGTAGACATTGTGATTGACATTATTGAGAAAAACTTACTAAAAACACACAAAATCATGGAAAGAATGAGAGAGGAATGTCATAAATTTAATTTTTTGTATCTATCTCTCTCATACAACATGTGATTTTGACATGTGTCTGGCGAGAGATACAAAAAACCCAACTCCCTTGAGTCATGTGTCCGGCGATTCAATATAATCTATTATGGATAGTCGTCTCCTCATCTGATCAGTGAGTCTCGTAATTGATTGAATCGAACAAACGAATTGATTGTAAATTGAATTGAGTTTATGAATTAATAGAAGCGGATTCTCATTTAAAAAATTAACTATAAATGCATTAAGGCATGCATATTTAGTTATTGATTACATTGAAGTTTTTATATTGTAAGAGCATCTTCAATGTTAAAACGTTAACGGTGCATACATGGCATGAGAGATAGCCAATTAAAAGAGATTGGAGGTAGTAAATAGAATATCTCTCTCCTTATTTGAAGGATCTTATATAATTTTGGTAATTTTTTCTTCACAATGTCTAGATGTAGACATTGTGGTTGACATTACAGGGAAAAACTTACCAAAAACACATAAGACCGTGAAAAGACCGAGAGAGAAATGTCATAAAATTAATCTTTTGTGTTTATATTTCTAATGGCACATGTGCATCGTGCACATTGTAGCATTGGAGATGCTCTAAGAATGGAGCACATGACATGGATCATATAATCTGTTATTTATTTATCTAATAAAGACCGATGAGAATTTAATGTTAGGGGTTACCTTAAATTACCACTGATTTGTAGCTAAATCTAAATATGTCAAATTTTAAATTTAATATATTTCCATCGGTGAAAGATCATACAATATTGATTGATTGATTTATACAATTCCACATACTCATGGGATGACATTTAACTTTTGAGATTCAATAATACTACGTATAAATTATATTGCAATGAAATACCATCATTTAATGTGTGTGATTTACGAGTATACATATACTAGTATAAAAGTTCCAAATTTAGAAGTGACTATTGAGTGCATTAGTTTTTCTTTTGAAAGCATCTCCAATGCTATGCACGGTGCACATATGTCATGAGTGAGATAGATACAAAAGATTGGTTTTATAACATTTCTTTCTCCGTCTTTCCACGGTTTTATGTGTTTTTTGTAAGTTTTTCCCTGCAATGTCAACCACAATGTCTACATCTAGACATTATGCTTGACATTGTGAATAAAAACTTACCAAAATGATATAAAATCCTTCAAATAAGGAGAGAAATATTCTATTTATTGTTTTTTCATTGGTTATCTCTCATGGCACGTATGCACCGTTAACGTTTTAGCATTGAAGATGCTCTGAAAGATTGAGTGCATTAGTTTACGAATATCGTTAAATATTCCAAATTTAGAAGTAACCATCGAGTGCATTAATAAAACGATTACAGTCAAAATTAATGAATCGTTATTGATGGAATATATTCCCATATACCTCAGGGGTATCATAGTCGCCGGTGAGAAAGCATCACGGGGCCACATCGGAGTGCGTGAAAAGACTAAGTCCACAATCGGACCGACCCCGACCCCGACCAACCAAGGTCAGGAATGAACGCCAGACATCGAAATGACTAAGGACCAAAAAATCATCCGACCTCGACCTCGACGCCGAGGTCGGGAAAGCACCAGACTCGAGAATGGGTCAAACTCGGCAGGTTATGAGCCCGACCTCGAGTGCCCGAGCTCGGCACCAAGCCCGACCTCGGAAGTCAAGCACGTGGGCAACCAAAGTCAAGTGTCAAGCGGTCAACCACCATAAAGGCAGAACGATAGATAGGAGGTGAATCCCCTCAAAATGAGCTTGAGTCTCCAATCACTGAGCCCGATAAAGCTCAAGGTCAGGCCAAAGCATTATGGACTTAGACAAATCCGCAAGGACCAGCATCACAAGGAGGTGCTGCCACATCATTCCCAGCGGCGGATAATATGCCATAATGCACATGCTTAACCATACGGGTATTCTGGTAGCAGTTTGTTGAAGATGATTCCAATCAGCCAGCTGTCCAAGACTATCTCTCCAATCACCTTTACACATGGCTGCTCCCCATCGAATTAGACTGATAGTTTGTTAGAATAGCTTTACACGTGTCTCCTTCCCATTAGATCAACATCTTTTTACTTGGGCACCAAGTATTGCCTTTTTCTCTTAGTATAAATATCACCTTCCACCTTGTGCAAAGGGATCGCATTCTCAATTCTCAAACTGTTACTCTGCCGGATTATACACTTGTGCTTTCCGATCAGTTCTCTCTCTCAATTTGTGTGGATTCTGACTACCCCGGTCCGGTGATCCATCATTTTTTGGTGCTTTCATTGAGAGTCGAACTGTGAACAGGTCAGATCCTCCCACTTTTTCCAGATTTACGACAAAGTTCCATCCTCGACAATGGCTCGAAAGAGAATTCTGAGAAACAGGCGTGTCGTTGTCGCCGTCACTCAAGCTGAACCCTCGCTAGAAGCTACCGCTACTTTTGGCACCAGAAGGGCCACTAGGGGGAAGCAAGTCGCTGAGGCTTCCGCTGATCTGCGTAGTCATATCCAGCGCGCTTCCTCAGATCTCCGTCAACAGATCTCGCTGAATCGCGATGCAGGGGGAATGTCGTCCGCATAGGTGATCCGACAATTCCACAGTCTTCTGATGGTGGATCCCTCTGCGGCGGTTGGCGCCCTCATCTCGGGATTGCAGCAAGCACTTCCCACGCTGCGATCCCAAGCAGCAACTAATGTGGCTCCTCACGCCACCAGGCCCATCTCGCCGACGAATTCTAGATCCCGGTCTCTAAGAGTAGGCACCATCGACGCCCCTCTGGTGGTGGAGAGGCCAACACAGATGATCTATCAATCTCCCCCATGCCAGAGGGCCACTCCGGGGATCAACTCTCCCCCGATCCACCAGAAGTCAGAGCACCTGTAGGCATTGTGCCCCTGGCACAGCAGGCGAGAACTTCTCGTCCCGCTGCGGCACAACAGAGGATGGTGCCACCACCACCTCCCACATTGCCGTCCAAATACACGGCACGTCGTGTTGACTACGGTTGCCGCAATGATGAAGGCGTTTACGCCGTCACCACCAAGGACTCCTCTCAGTCATTCTCCCCTCAGGGGCGACAACATGATGACAACCCCAATCCCTGGGTGGAGGTGGGAAGGCGTCTCATCTTCTCCCGATTGGGGGACAGATCTATGGCGAATCAACGCCTATCTGTCAACATTCGGGGGATTAACCGGGCGAATTCCCCAGTTCTCAACATCCCCCGGCAGCAACAGCAACAACATCATGGGAGAAGGACTCCAGAGCGCGTACCCGCTTTGGAGAGGCTAGGGGCAATCATTCCCCAGATTCGCCCCCCCCCCCCCCCCCCCCCATGCCACCAGCAGATGCCTTGTCCCCCAAGGCAGCAGCGTGCTTCTCCACTGTGCCAGCAATAGCAACACCCCCTGCGCCAGCCAAGGCTTTCACCGTCAAGGCGGCAGGTGGAGTCTCCACCACGGCGTCAACGCCAGGTGGATCCCAGGGAGGAACAGATCCGCCTCCTTACGCAACAGGTCAATGAGCTGTGGGCTGCAATAGTCACAGCAGCGCCACCACCACCTCCCCAGCACATGGCGCGTGGCGCCCAACTAGAAGCACCGGCACTCCAGGTCCAGCAGCTATAAGCTCAAGTTAACCATGAACCTGTCACAGTAAGGGTAAGGACTACTACCCCCTTTACCACCTGGATCATGCAGGCCCCTATACCCCCGAAGTATAGAGGCCCAACATTCAATTCTATGGGGATAAATCTGACCCCCAGGAGCATTATACTCGTTACCAGTCCGACATGTATATGCTAGGCGCTAGCGACGAGTACATATGCAGGATGTTTCCCTCCACTTTAGAGGGGGAGGCATATGATTGGTTCAATAACCTGCCTGATGAATCCATCAATTCATGGAGGGAGTTGGCCATATGCTTCCTCACCCATTTTGCCGCCAGGGCAAAAACAAAGAAACATTTCTCCTACTTACTGTTTGTCAAGCAGGGCAGGGATGAGCCATTGAGCAAGTTCCTGGAACGCTGGAACGAGGAGACTTCCAAAGTCTATGGGGCCGACGACAACACCCGTCTGGCCATGTTGCAGGAGGTCCTATGGACTGGAGGCTTCTCGAGGAACCTTATCATAGACCCCCACAGGACTATCAGCGGGCGCTCCACCGCGGGCAGAATTACGCCTTAGCGGAGGAAGTGCACAGCCTCAAAGGAGCATAGGAAAATGATGTGAAGCATATAAGCAGGAGAAGAAGCAGCAGGAAAAACCAAAGCACACTCGGGAGTAGAAAACCCGCGATGACAGCGACAAAAACAGGAGCAGGGGCAACTTCAGAACCAGACACCCCTGGACTGGCCCCAAGCTTATGGCACCTGAGGTTCTGACGCCACTAACCCACTCCGTCAGCGACATCCTGGAGGCCGCTGACCAAGAGGGGCTAGTGGTTCGGGACCCACGCATCAACGAAATCCAACCAGGGGATAAACCAGGCCCCTACTGCAAATTCCACAGGTTCCATGGCCACACAACAGACGAGTGCCATACGCTAAAGCTGGAAATTGAGAAATTGA